GACATGAAGTCCCACAGAATCTCTTCTTTTTAAAGGATTAGTTACATTTTTTCATTCAACACACAGCTCTTATATTTGAGGTGGAAGCAGACAAGCATATTCCTTTAAAAAAAAAAATTAAAAGAAATTGATGTACCACTCCCACTTCTAGACTTCATAAAAAGAATTATCAGCAGGAGCCCCATCAGGAGTGCCTTATCAGGAAACGTCAGCCTGGACAATCTCCATTTCAATTCTTCCAGCAATGACTTTTTGTGTGCAATGAATAATCAGATGCTAGATGTCATTAGAGTAAAGCATAATGAACTAGTATTACCCATGGGCTGGGGTGGATCAGTAGTACATTGGCCCAGAGAATCTTTACATTTGTTTAAGCAATATGCTCTTAAAACTGAACGCTTGGTCTGGATTCCAAATATCAGCCTTATTGTTAGAAAAATGAAAGTGACTTAAAAAAAGTATTAAAAAAATGCTGTAACGTAGGCTTCAAAGAGCTTCCATACTTCTCTTTATTTCAACAGAGACCTTTACTTAAGGTGCTTTCAGATTCTGCACTGCAGACAGGTTCACAGAGGTGGCTTTTCAATAAGCTGTTAACAGTCTGTTGCAGGTATTTTTCAGCAGCTCAAAACACAGAAACCCTGAACTGCTAGTTTCTAAAGCGGGGCATCTGTGGAGCAGGGGCTCCCTCTAAGGGGGCTGAGGAGGAGACCGTCATGAGCTGCCCAGCATGCATTCTCTCATTCACACGCAGTTCACAGCCATCCTGCAGCATCCTTATAGCTATCCTTGCAATGTTTTTAGAGTCATCAAGTCCACTGTGAGGCCTCCCATCATAGTTCATCCCCAGCTTTTCAAGCATGATTGTCAGCTTGGTCTGGTTCCTAGGAACCTGATGGAGAAAGTGAACCACATTCCAGAATTAGATTTTTTTTTTTTTTTTAAACCAAGCCTTTTTCATCTAACACAATGCAATAGAAATGTATGCAGATTTTAAGTACCACATAAAAGTTTTATGTTGTCTTTTGTTAGATCATTAACAATTACACTTCAAAACACCTGGGTGAGATATACTCATTTTTTCAGAGAAGGCACAGTCAACAAGATTTTGTCTAGACTCAGGATGATCTCAAGTTACTCTCACCACTACCAGCACCAGTTCAAGACGTGCCAAAACTGACAACAGTGGAAATTGTGGTCTAGAGAGCAATTCCTCTTTAAGGCTTGTGAAACCTACCAAAGTGGCATTGCGAAGGGAAAATTTTTTAAAATGCCAAGCAATTAAAAAGCAGAATCCTCCTGATTCTCACTGACATCAAGGTTCTGAATATCTCCAACCACTAGAGGAGACTGGCAGCACTTACAGTAGCCCCCGTTTACTTGGATGACCAACAGCCTGGACAGACAAGGAAGTTTAACTGTGTTACCCACAGAAAGTGCTACACTAGCAAAAGCCCCACCTCCTCACTGGATTAACTACTAAACATACATCTGTTCTCAGGAAAGGCCGAAGAAAAGCAAAAGGATATCAAGCTTGTTCTCTTGGGGGTGTGGAGGGCACTACAAGTTGCAGGATGCTGTACCATACTACTAGATTTAATAGCTAGGCAGGACAGCAACAACATAGCTGCAACAATCTGGCAACATGCCATTTTCATAGCAACACCCACAGTGCTGTCAGGGGAGACATACCCATAAGCTGTGGGATATTTCTTGTCCACCGGAGGGTTACAAACCCATTATTATGGTTTTAAACCCATTATTACTTAGCAGATTCAATAGGAGCACATAACAGCTAGACAGAAGCACTGAACAACTGTAAATGCTACACATTTTTGAATTTAAAAAATTATACAAAGTAAAAAAAAAATGTGATTCATTCTAAGTTATAATTTTCAATGGCTTTAACAGAGCAGTAATCTCACTGCTAAATAGAGGGGAGAGAAGTAGACATATCTGGTTTAAAGCTGATAGGACTAATAAGATTGTTTTGTGTTCTGACATGTGCTTGCAGTGGGAAAGGTCCTGAAGAGAAGGCATAATAGAGGGGGAAATGGGATAACCCTGTAATATTTCCAAGGAGAAAGTAAAGCTCTTCTCTTATTAAACGTCAATCTCCTCTTCCTAGCAGTTGCATTTAGTACACCACCACCCTTCAAGAGCTGATTGTAAGCCAAGCCCAAATCATATTCAAACAAATGGTTTAGCTACGCTGACCTGGCATTCACTAGGATCTCCAACAACGAGCTCTCTGGCAATGTGACAGCAATAGAAAGCAGCAATAAGGTCCAGCACTGAATTTGCTACTACTTTTGTCTTGACAATCTGATGCAACCTGTAGATATGTCCTAATTTTTCCCTTCCCTGTTATTCTTTGTCAAAAGTGGAGGTACACGAGATTAGTACTAAGGATTAGTTTTGTAGCGTACTATGTGAGAACAGGAAGCAATAACTGCAAAATCAATACCAAGACTTTTCAGATGAACTAGCTTAAGACGCACTTGATCTATGAGCACCAGTATGACATTTTTAAACAATTCTTCAAGTAACAATGAACACATCTCCTGATTCTCAAATACAAAATTAAAATGCAGTAGTTCAATTACTCCAGTAGATGATACCACTTTCAAGTAGTAAAATGTGCTTCATTCCTGAATCTCTCATTTGGAAATTAGGCCACAGGCATCTAATTTACGTACTATACTTTTGCACCACACAAGTAAAGATTACAGGCACAACAGGGCATGTAAGACTTGAACCAAATTTTCCCACGAGAGAAACAACAGTCTATACAAACCTTATAGAAGTTCCCATACGATTTGCGAATATTGATCCACCTTTTCGCAAAAGAAGGATATTTGATACGGCTAATACGGCACTGGATATTCAAAAATTTACTCATATCCCAGGATCTTGAAAAGCCAAAGAGAAGAGAGAAAAGAGAAAGACATTATTAATGATTAATTCAGATGCCCTCCGGTCTACGTATTGCACAGCTGTAGCACAAAGGACTGAAGGAAAACAGCTTAGGCTAGGAAAAGCATTCTCTCAGTAGGCAAGGTAAGAAATTTTTCAACGTGAACTTGTTAATCAAAGGGAAAACAAATACCCATGTCAGCAAAATTTTCTCTAGGATGGTTTCAGGTCCAGAATGGCTGAAACAAAAAATATCATGCCAACTTCCCTACCGACATCTGCTCCAGGATAGCCAATAAGCCAGAGGTTTATACAGCCCTCAGGGAAGCAGGAGACACTTTAGTTTCCCTGATCACTCTGGTACACATGTGTCTCTAACTTCAGGCACTGAAACAAGATTGTGCTTACTCTTAGGAGAGCCAGACCTTTATGGAAAGGAGATGAAGCCATAACCCCATAGTACTTCTAGCCTTCCTTTCTGAAGGGAGTCACTCAAACAAGTTTGTAAGCTTTAAGCAAAAATAAAGTCTTTTTTTTCCCCCCCCCTCTGTGCAGACAGCTGCAAGAATCTCTCCTATACGATAGGGAAATCTCATTACAACTATTTCCCTTGAGGAATATCACCGAGGGCTTACCCTGGAGGGGTACTCAAGACACATTCTCCTAAGCAAAGTAATATAACCGGTCTTGTAGCAGTTTTGCTTTAGCACTATTGCTTCCAAAGACAAACCTAACCACAGGTAACAAGTTTGCTAAATAGGAGTATTTATCAGAATTCTCCAAATTAAAACTCAAGCAATATCACATTTAATTAACTCCTCAGTTTTAAGGTGTACCCTGCTCTAAATTATAAACTTCAAATCTAGTGTTAAAGTTCTTCAACAGCATCACTGTCCACACTGGGCAAAAATAGCACAACCACGTTTCAATGACACCGTTTCTTCACCTGACATCTATGATTTGGAGTTGTCCCAACCTTTAGGAATTTTGAGAAAAAAGGTCTTACAGTGAAAGAATTTTCCCACCCATTAAGTCAGGTAAATTAAAAACAACAACAACAACCACCCAACAAAAAAAAACCCAACTTTTCTTATGCATCATGTCCTACGACACATGATTTTTCAAGCCGCTCATGTCAGACTACAACATTTATCTGTGCTTTACTCGAGAGAAGCCTAACTGGGATCAGTAAAGCCTAATGTTGAAAATTCCCTGTGCTACTTATTTCTCTCATTCCAAGAGTAGTAGAAAAGCACACGTTAACAGATTAGTAACGTTCCACAGCTAGAAAGCAAGCACCAAGTAGAGAAAATTCCCTGGCCAGTGATATGCAAGACAGAAGATCACGCTCAGGTGGTATCTTCTGGCTTCAAAATATACAACTACACTCTAACAACACTAAGGTTTTAAGAACAATGTCACATCATGGATCTACCTAGATCGCAAGATCTGTGTACTTTGCTCTTATTAGGGGATTTGATTTTCCCCTTGACCCTTGTGAGAGACCCAGTACAGGTAAGAGTTCAAGGGTCATTAGTCAGCCCCTTGTCAGAGCCATAGTCGTCTAAGCCAAAACAGAGCTTTTTCTACTAAACGTTTCTTCTCATTCAATATGAGGCATAATCCATTACTGCTTTCTGATGAAGCATGCAGGACATACTAACAGTGAGACTAATGCATACCACATACCCATCATACCATCACTGAAACCTCAGATTTCAGAAAGCATAGGAGTTACTTAGAACTGAAATAGCACATACATGAGAAAATAGCACTGTGCAATATGAAAACTGGAAGTACAGAGAATTACAACAGGATAAAACCAGCCTACTCAACACCATTTACATGCATTAAAAATAAGTGTGGGAAGCTGGAAAAGAAACAGTGCCATCTAATGGATACAAGCTTCACCTCAAACTCATCTAGTTCAGTTTTCCTAACTTATCTGAAAGCTAAAAACATGCCATAAAAATGGACATGTCATGATCCAGTTTTAGCAATACTGTTACCAAGGTTAAGCATTGTTTTGCAGTTTTAGAGTATGCTGAAGGTTTCATAAGGACATACCCATCTGTCAACATGGAATAGCTATACTTTGTTCCCAGTTCTCGCTGTCTCATCCACTCTATGACTTTCTGCAGAACTTGAGGAAATGTATCAGCTTTATCAACAATGTCCTAAGAGGAGGGGGGAAAAAAAAAAAGAAAAGAAATATTTTCAGGAAAAAAATGAACAGCAACATGCAGCGCAAGAATTATGCTGTTATATAGGTACTCACTAAATTACTCGACTAAAAAAGACTTCACAAAACTCTTTAGAAACATATTATTCATTAAAATAAGCAGATAAAGGGTCAGATTTTTCTGAACAAAAGCACCACAAGAACACCATCGAAACAGCGTACCCATACACGACTTCTAGAAAGCTAACAAATTAATCAGCTGTTGAACTTGGCTTAAAATTTTTGAGCCTGTTTCCCAGGTCCCTGCTCAAGTTGCTTGATCACAAACCAGAGCCCCCATAACACTCTCTAAACTCCTAGCATTTTTTTTAATAAATATAAACATATACAAAAGCAGAGGAATGGATGCAATTCAAAACCTGTACTCCTGTGCTAGCCATTAAGTTTTCTAAATATAGACTAGGGAATGAATGCTTTCCCCTGCAGCTCCTGAAAATGCCTTGAAAGATTGACCTAGTGAAATCAATTCTGGGATAACAGCTGGGGGGGTGGGGAGAAGACAATTAAGAGAATAAGTCCTACAGCCATGTAAATCTGAAAACATCAACACTACTATTTTTTTTTAATATTTGTCTGAAGACACAAAAGTATAAGTTACCTGAGTGATTCCTGTTAGACTGATGCAGAATGCAGAAAGTTTAGGATTAATCTCTGGCTTCACATATTGCTGAAAGGTATCCTCCTGTAACAAGAGAATCAAACACTTTGCAGCAGCACACTGTGTAGACCGCAAGGCAACGTTTTTGGCTCACCCACAGCTGAGAGGCAATCCATGATACTTGTCCTGCTAGAGGCAAGAAAGGACAGCGTACCTCCCTGGTACCTACCTGGTACCCTGGTTGGCCACTATGAGGTTCCCAATGGGATGGCTGGCTGGCTTTCCAACCAGCACACGTCCTTCCTTTCAGCCAGTAGGCACTGAAGAGTAGGGACGTAAATATAAGAGGGGAAAAGGACAAGACTGCAATAAAAGGGGAGGATTTGGGAAAAGGAGAACATAATTTAAAAAAAAAAGAAAAAACACGCACACACACACAAAGTACACACACCCCAAAAGAAAAAGAAAAGCCACGAGCAAAGCCTGATTTTTGTTACATCACATCTCTACATGCTCACCTGTAATTCAAGACAGGTAACAGGCTGCACTGCTCAGAGGCTGCATGAAAGTCACACACCTCTCAGTGCAAGCCAGCTGGAGATAAACGCAATGATCTCACTTTGGGAAACTCAGCAGTTAAGAAAAAAAAAAACCAAACACACACACACACCACACAACTAAAAGCAAGTTCCATGGAAAAGAAAGTCCCAAACTGCTGCTGCTACATAAAACCTTTTTGATGGAGAAAAAACAAGCACCTTCCTATTCTATGAGCAGTAAAACAGCCTTGGTGACCCACACAATCCTGTGTCTGCTGTTAGAGGCATAAATGTAGCTATACTCTGCTGTTATGTCACAACAATTACTGGAAATCCTCCTCCTCCTAGAACTTCCTGATAAATTAGTCAGAAGAATGTGCAGCTCCTCCATTTCACTGAGTCACTCAGTTTCAGTTTGACAATAATTTTTTTTTTTTTTCCCCCTAGAAGAAAGGCAAGTAAGTGAAGTACTGGAATAGAGCGCTTGCGAGGCTGCAAAATCTCTATAGGCTATTTTTAAAACCAGGCAAGACAAACAGCTGCCAATCCACTGCAGGCAGATTTTAGGAGTAGTCTAGCCCGCTCACAAGCGGAGCTTATTCAGCCACAGTTTGCAGAACTCTGCATTAGTTCCTTCTGGGTTGCATCAAACAGACGACCACAGAATTTGCTAATTCTTCATTGCGATGAACATTCTCCCCCAGCCCTGAGTCCTAGAAAGGCAGCTTAATGTGCTTTCTGGATCTTAGATCAGGTGGAGGAGAAGGAGGAGGAAAAAGAAAAAGGAGAGTGAGAAACCTCAAAGTTCTGTCACATTGGTGAAGGGACTCAGTAATATTCAGGTACAGAAATTAAAATACATTTTAAAGGGGCACGATCTACTCCAGCTGCTTAGTGTTTTTTAAGAACAGAAAGAAAGTTTTGTTTGTATTTAATAGGCACAGAGTATAGGCCTTTAGGAAAAAAATGGGCGTTTTTAATGAAGTTCAACATCTACTTAAAAACAAACTTAAGACTTTCTGAAGCAAAGAAGTTGCATCAAAAAAAATAACATACTAACACCATAATTAGATCACTTACTATTTCCAGGGTATGTGTGTTTACTAAGACAACAGGAAACTCAATTATTTCATGTACAAATTCAGGTGGGTTTCCTTCCTCACATGTTGCTTCAAAGTCAACAACACAGATGTAGTCGTAGTAGCTATCTCCATTAATAGGTTCCTTCTGCATCAGCTTCTGTTTTTTATAATAGTTCTTCAGTCTCTTCTTCAGTACATCTTTCACTCCTCTGAACAAATGAGGAAAGTATCAAAGGTAACACTCATTTAATCAATTATTTCATCACTGTGAGAACTGAAGCGATCTCTAACACCCAAAAGCTCATCATTTAAAACCTAATTTTGAACACTAGTGCTTATGAAGTTTGAATTCAACATCACCATACAGTTAACGCTCCGTTATCTGGGATAATACAGAGGTTGGGATACCCCAGGCAACTAAAACACCTAGATAACATGGTATTTTGGGACAGGCTGAGAAGAAGGGCACAGAGACATCCCAATGGCTCTGTAGTGATTCATCTCCAGCCTAGCAGGCCTCCCTAGCCCAAGCCTTTTGTTGCAAAGAAGCGGTAAATGGCTTCCAGATGACTGTTGGCCCCAGAAGAAGTACAGCTTCGGCCCCAGAAGTAGTACAGCTTCATCCACTTTTCCCTGTGCCCCCTGCCTGAACTGACACCTGAGGTATTCCTGCATCAGTGGCACAGCTAATTCAGAATCCAGCTAAAATACCCACAGATAAATTGAGCTTGACTACCTCGAAGAAACTGAAGTACTCTAGACTTCAGCTGTCAAAAAACCTTTCTGGTCAAGATCCTCGTTCTAGGGGGTCTGTGACCCCAATGTGAATTCACTGTGGCTATAGACTAAAATTATCCACTGCATTGTTTTAACATAGTCATTATAATACACAAGTACAGATGCCAGAACAGCCACACACAAAACCAGAGCTCAATAAACAAGGCTGATTTACTCTAGGCAGAAAATAATTGTTAAAGTTATGCATTGCAAATGAAATCATACTAGAAAAGAGTTTCTTGTAGCAAGCTGTATTATCAGAATTTTACAGAAAAGTAGTCCACTGATCCACCAGGAAAAATTGGAATCACAAACTACTAAACCTGCTTTTGAGAACATCAGCCCCTTCTCCAAATGCAGGTAACTTCCCCCCGCCCTTCTTCGGTTTATTCATCTAGTTCAATTCAATGACTAGTTCATTGAAAACTAAGATAGAATGGGAGCTGAGCGAGGGGAAAATTACTTTTTCCTCTCATCTAACCTATAAATAAAAAGAAGGTGAAAGAGGAGATGACCTGCTAGGTTTAAAAAAAAAAAAAAGACTCAGAGAAGGTGGCATGCAGGAATCTACTCAATTCACTACATTAGAGGTGATGCTGCACTTCTTTACACGCAAGACACATTCTGACCAATTTAATGGAATGTATTGATAAAACAAGAAAAGTAAGTCTAACTATGCTAAAAAGATAAATTCTAAGCTTTCTACATTTACAATTGAATAAAAATATCAATTTATAACCTAGGAAATCACAAATACATCATTTGCTATTTGATTTCTGCTTGTTAATTTTAAGTTATAGTAAGTACTGAATAGCCATATGAATCTAACCTATTTCTCTATAAATTTTATCATGTAATGACTTTTTTTTTCTTGAGGGTCCACCCAAATTCATTTATTTGAAGACATAAAAAAAAAAAAAAGCCAGATAGAAAAGGCTGCACTCCCCTTACCTCTGTCCCCCCCTCCCCTTTTTTTTTTTTTTAAAGCATCTCAGCTCTTTTCATTTTTTTCTCTCTGGAAATTCTCTCATAGTATTCTTTTTCTCCAGAAAGCTAGACTTCTCCTTTCAGCCTCACTCCAACTCATCTTTCACACTCCCTCTTCCTCCAGAGTAGCTTTTAATTTTGCCAGCCTCCCCACTACATCCTTATTACCGTTGCTAACGGTGTTTTTCCCAGCTGACCTTCTTCTCACTGTTTCAAATTTCTCCGGCCACAGCAGCATCAAAGGGTCTTACAGGGAACTTCCTATGCAGCAGGAACCACCATCTATTCACTTAGCCCTTTCTTCCTTCTCCTCAATGAACACAAATCCAGTTTATGATACACTCTCCAGTTCATCTACTCAGATTAGCAAACTCTCCATCTAAAGCTACTTGTCCTCTGCCTTGATGAACTTCCAGCCCTATCACAATAGGGGTTCTAGCCAATATCAGGGCCACACTATGAACAGTAAGTAAAAATAAGTATGTTTTGAATTGAGTTTCTGTGCCTTGAGGTTTGCAATACCACCTGAGAAACCTTGCAGTTCTTCCTAACCCATCTTTCAACTTCGTCCAAAAAATTTGCGAAAGTTTACATAGCTACATATGCTACATATTCTTTTGTTTGTGTTACAGCTTGAGACAACACAGATTTCTGGAAACACGTTAAGCAGTAATATACACATGAGACCTACAACAAAAGCTGCATCAAGATTGCACCAAAAAAACAGCTGGAGTTTGGTGGCTTGTTTTCTTTCCAGTTTCTGTGTGTGTGTGTGTTTTTTTTTTTTCTTAAATAATCATCTCTTACTGCTACACTGCTCTGCTCTCAAAGATAAATTGAAAGGCTTACCACTCAATTTTACCTGGTTTCAAGCTTGAACTCTGCAAGTTTACTTCTGAGCTCATCTCTGGACATTCTATTGATATAGCCATTGGTGATAGCAATTTCTTTGTAAACTGGATCACTGAAGTCACTCAAACTGGAAGTTAATTTCTTCCCATTAGTTTCTTGATCGTTGTTCCTACAATGCTGCTTTCCCTAGAAGAAGTAAAGATCTGTAGGCCACTCAAGAAGGTCAAAATAGAAGCTAGATCATTAAAACTTACACGTGGTTTTACCACCAAAACACAGTAAAACATCACACCACTTCACCGATGAATAAAATGAGAGAACCAGCTTATAGATAGATAGGAAAAAAAAAAACCAATCCTGAAACCTGCTCTGAAAAACCACTTTCGTTTAGATTTTCACAAAAAAACACAGAAGAAAGGGATCCAAATGCTAGAGTCGGAGGTCACACCAAATACTAAACACAGGCGAGAAAGCCAGAACACGCGTCCTAATTTCAACGGCGAGAGCCAGGCCTCTCTGTGTGAGCTATCAAGGCCGTAACGGACGCGGGAGATCCTCTCAGCACCTGAATTAACCACAGCCCCTACCAAGTGATGAAGACAGACGGACAGACGCGTTTTAGGGGGTGAAAAGCGGGAAAAACGTCACGCCGCTCAGGGAGAAGTTAGGAGCGCGCGTCGCACCAGCTCGAGCGCAGGCG